TTGAAATTAAGTGTATCGGTAAATTTATATTCAGAAAGAATAAACCAGTTTTATTAAGTAAGGACTTGTGTCACTAAAGTTTCGTCGAAACGAAGTTATGGAAAATTAACTAACGAACGGAGACGTAACAATACTTAGTTTAATATCTATTGTAGCTAAGCCTCGTATGTATACAGAAAGGTAACGAGAAGCTAAAAGAAAACAAAAATTTTCCTTTACTTAAAAGGCTTTTATTAGAAAAAACGTAAAATTACAAGTTACATATCGAAATCACAGCATTACTTATACGTGCTCATAAAATATACCTATATTTACCAAAGTTAAAAATGAGCAAGATCATGTTTCATATTTGCTAGTAAGATTTTCTCAAAATATTACCCCAATCTTACCAAGTACAATTAAAGTTTGAAGGCGACAATTCAAATGTGGACTAAACATAAATGAAAACGTATTAGATTTCAAGAGGAAAGTATATGTCCTACACCCATATTTAAATATAATTATAAGTTTTATACAAAATTTCTGAATACTGGTTGATTGAAGTTTAATGTTAAGAAATATAACACCAACAGACTTGCTACCAAACAGCATAAATATTAAAATCGAAACAAAAGAAAGAAACATTATAAGTAAATGTATGAAAAGATTACAAATATGCCTTCAATCTTATTCTGCCTTGAGTTCCATGGTGTTCATTTTCTTTAACTTGCATGTATTAGGTTTAGAAACTATGGTAAATGGTTAATTTGTTTTGCTTGGTAAACACGACATTCCTACGTAGTGATAGTTTCTACCCAAGAGTAAAATTGTAAGTAACAAGATGTTGTTAAATATAACCACTTATAGAAGATACCTGTTGTAAGTAACAAGGGGTCATTAGGGATAACCGCTTACAAGAGATGCCTGTTGTAAGTAACAAGATATCATTGGGGATAACCACTTACAGAAGATACCTGTTGTAAGTAACAAGAGATTGTTAAATATAACCACTTATAGAAGATACCTGTTGTAAGTAACAAGAGATCGTTAAGGATAACCACTTATAGAAGATACCTGTTGTAAGTAACAAGGAGTCATTAGGGATAACCGCTTACAGGAGATGCCTGTTGTAAGTAACAAGAGATCATTGGGGATAACCACTTACAGAAGATACCTGTAGTAAGTAACAAGAGATCGTTAAGGATAACCGCTTACAGGAAAAGCCTGTTGTAAGTAACAAGAGATCATTAGAGATAACCTATTAAAGGAGATACCTGTTGTATGTAACAAGGGACCATTAGAGATAACTGCTTACAGGAGATGCCTGTTGTAAGTAACAAAAGATCATTAAGGATAACAGCTTACAGGAGATGCCTGTTGTAAGTAACAAGAGATCATTAAGGATAACCGCTTACAGGAGATGCCTGTTGTAAGTAACAAGAGATCATTAGAGATAACCTATTAAAAGAGATACCTGTTGTAAGTAACAAGAGATCATTAGAGATAACCTATTAAAAGAGATACCTGTTGTAAGTAACAAGAGATCATTAGAGATAACCTATTAAAAGAGATACCTGTTGTATGTAACAAGGGACCATTAAGGATAACCGCTTACAGAAGATGCCTGTTGTAAGTAACAAGAGATCATTAGGGATAACCACTTACAGGAGATGCCTGTTGTAAGTAACAAGTGATCATTGGGGATAACTGCTTACAGGAGATACCTGTAGTAAGTAACAAGAGATCGTTAGGGATAACCACTTACAGGAGATGCCTGTTGTAAGTAACAAGTGATCACTGGGGATAACCACTTACAGAAGATACCTGTAGTAAGTAACAAGAGATCGTTAGGGATAACCACTTACAGGAGATGCCTGTTGTAAGTAACAAGTGATCATTGGGGATAACCACTTACAGAAGATACCTGTAATAAGTAACAAGAGATCGTTAGGGACAACTGCTTACAAGAGATGTCTATTGTAAGTAACAAGAGATCATTAGAGATAACCTATTAAAGGAGATACCTGTTGTATGTAACAAGGGACCATTAGGGATAACTGCTTACAGGAGATGCCTGTTGTAAGTAACAAGAGATCGTTAGGGATAGCCACTTACACGAGATGCCTGTTGTAAGTAACAAGTGATCATTGGGGATAACCACTTACAGAAGATACCTGTAGTAAGTAACAAGAGATCGTTAGGGATAACTGCTTACAAGAGATGTCTATTGTAAGTAACAAGAGGTCGTTAGGGATAACCACTTACAGAATATACCTGTTGTAAGTAACAAGGGGACATTATGGTTAACCGCTTACAAGTAACATTATGTGTCACCTATTATCTTCTACATGATAAGTTTCATCTATCAAATTTCTAATGAATAATATTTCTTTTTTTTAAACTAAAACATTTTCAAAAATTGATCAGTGTTTGCCAATTTTAATGAGTTGATTTTATTATGAAATAATATTAACTTAGCTAATGAAAAAGGACGAAAAGATGGTTTAATATTTAGAAGTTGGATATTCCTAATCTTTCAAAAAATATTCACCCTATTACGAAAATAAAATCTTGCAAAACTGGATCCTCATTTTTTCTTTACCTATGTAACTATATGTTTAAGTTTAAAATAACATGAAGAATGTCTTTCTAACGAATACATTGCTTATATTATATTGTTTTAAGATTACATGTACAAACATCCCTGTCACAAGGTAAGCAGTGTAAACACAACTAAAAAGAATTTGAAAAACAATCATCTACTTTGCAACCACTTTCAGCATTATTAAATTGTAGTAAATGAAACTAGGGCTTAATCAATAAATGTTGAAGAAGCACAGAATGTAACCAGGTTATCTAAAAGCAAGTCAATAAATACAAAACACTCGATATCAAACAAGAGAGGTACAATTAATGTTTCACAAATTATCAGAAAAAATATTCTCATCATTAGTTCACTAGAAAAAACTTTAATGTCAAAAACAATTTCAACTTAATAGCCCAACAAATCATAAGAACATTTTTTGGGTACACTAATACAGAAATATCAGAGTCAACTTCAACATTCCTGATATCATCAAACTACAGAACAATCAGTAAGAAAGATATCATACTTATTATGATATAGCTTGGTGAAAGAACATATTATTAACCATGTCTTTACAGTGTTTTTATTCCAATATGTTGAAATAACTTATATATATATAATTCCATTCATATCACATGAATTTCTTAATTAATTGCCTTGAAATAGTTGGTTTGGTAAAGAAAAAGCATTTATAAAACAATTCTATTTAAATACAATAATTTGAATTAGATGTTATCACTGTATTCAAATTAATTGTAGATAATTTACTTTTTTAAATATTTATTTAAGCTATGTTAAAGTTTGATCTTTCAAGTTAAAAAGCCACTTCAGGATATATCACAAGAATGTATTTCAAGCTGCTATTTACAAAATCATGACCTAAACACAGTTGACAATAAAAATCTAATTAGTTTCTTTTAAAATGCAGGAAGTAGGAAGTTGTTCAGTAGCCTACTTTCTAATACAGAAAGAATGTTTCTCACGTACAAGGTAAAATCTTATAACTTATCAGTAAACACATGATTAAAATGATAAAAAACAACAAATGCATTTCCAAAGTTATGAGAAATAGCTAGATAAAGAATTAATTTCAACTCTAAACTCTTCTTCTACACATAAAACTATACACATTACGTACAGATTGATTTCTAAACTGTGATTTGGTGCTTATATCTCTTATTGTCTTTAAACAATAACAATAGATAATTTAAGTATATTTCTGTGTCGTTTATACCCGACAGGTTAGTTGACATACCTTCAATATATGTAATATTTTAGTATTCCATTTTTCTATATCAAATCCATTTAGGATTAGATTCTCTAAATTTCATATTGTGATAAACACAACTATTTTTCATGATACAGGTAGCCAGTAGGCATCTTTCTTGAATGGTCAATAATACCCATTTCTTGTTAACCTCCATGTTTATACTCTGAGTGGTGGATAATACCCATTTCTAGTTAACTTCCATGTTTATTCTTTGAATAGTGAATAATACCCTTTTTCTAGTTAACCTCCATGTTTATTCTTTGAATAGTGAATAATACCCTTTTTCTAGTTAACCTCCATGTTTATACTTTGAATGGAGGATAGTACACATTTTTAGTTAACCTCCAACTCCAACTTTATATTTTAAATGGAGAATAATACCCATTTTTAGCTAACCTCCATGTTTATACTTTGAATGGAGGATAGTACACATTTTTAGCTAACCTCCATGTTTATTCTTTGAATAGTGAATAATACCCTTTTTCTAGTTAACCTCCAACTTTATATTTTAAATGGAGGATAATAAATATTTCTAGTTAACTCCATGTTTATAATGTGCATGACTAAGACTTAGAAAATGTGAGCATAACAGATATGGCACTCTTTAAATTGATTCCTTTTATTAATGTGAGCAAAGCTTTAAGAATAAAAAAAACAAATATTTTTGTTTTGCCTAAGAGTAAGTGAATGCCAAAACAAAACCGTACATTATATTAACAAAGCAATACATTTTATTACACTCACAGTATCTTCATGCTTAGTAAAAAATCATTTGAATCTGGTTAATTTCAGGCAGAATTCATGAAACTTAAAACTACTTACAAGAACCTGTTCTTCAGAACACAATATATGAGCCAACAATTTACACTAAACACATCCAAAATGTCCTATCAACTTATTAGCAGGACATAGGAAAATAAACCATAACAAAATTAATGCAGGAAATACTAAAAAACTCGATCCCACAGATCCTAAATATCAATATATACAATTTTGAAATGAAACTAAATAAAACTTTTCCTTTAAATGTGTTTACACAACATGCCAACTGTGTTGGGTACAACAGTAGCTAAGTAGTTTCACACATCATTATACACACACACATACATATCCTTCTGATGTGCAAGTTTCCCATTTTTTAGAGTTTTAGAAACCTTAGTGGTTCACCATCACAACATAAAACTTTTCACTAAAACCAACTGGGACAGACATATGAGCAGACACACAGTTAACAGGTTGTGCCAACTCTAAACACCTCTTGTTCTCTTAGACAGGATAAACAAAAACTAATTTCAATATTATTAAATATTCTTTATGATCTGACACAAAATTGAACATTATAGAAATGCTTGAGTACCCATAACAATCTATAATCTCAGCCTCACCACCTAAAAATATGACATAGAAGCTAAATTTTCTGTTAGTTTGGTGTCAAATGGTGTTACATATAGAAACAGGAACACTTAAACCATCCCACAGATTTCATAATAACACTCAGTATGAAATGCCTTAATGTACAAATACCAATGAAAATTATAATGGATGCATGGATGAAGTGATTCCAAAATTCTCGAATGATGTCGAGCATTACTTGGACTATTGGACTGTTTGAGGTTCTCCATTAACAGTTTTGGACTTTACAACTCCGTCTTCATACACTGTCACTGTCTCGATTCCATTATCTATAATTCTACAAACAAGAATGAGACCAAATTCATTATTAGTTTATAACAACAATAGATAATCTACAAACACTGAAGTGGACAAAATCCATTCAGTTTATAATGACATAGCAAAATCTAGAGATTTTAAAACAAAATTGGTGAAAATCTCAGTTTAAATTAATTTTAGTGACACACTACAGAACAATAAGTTTTGAATACAAGAAATACATGGAATTTAATAAAGTAAGTTATTCAGGAATGTAAACTTCACTTTCTATATTATTGTTAATAATAAAAAATGCCAAAATGTAACCTCAAAAAAAGCATGACCCCCCTCCCAATATTTATGAGCTAAAATAACATCTTCAAATTCATACATCAAGATTATATGAACACTGTAACACCTAATTTTATTTTTAAAAACCTAACATATATAAACCTCATCATCAGCAAGAAGTATTTGTTATTCTGCAGGCTTTCTCTCAGTAATCCAACCATCCATCATTGGCTACTCTGTTCTCAGCACAAGCCTAAAGAAATTACTAGAAAAATTTAATATAAAGACTTCAAGCATACTTTTATTCATTTCTTACATAATGCACAGTAATAACTTCATTGTGAATGAAAAGTAACTGGTACATCGAGTTCCACCTGACTTGTGATCTTAATAGAAAACTGTGACGCTGTATCTACTTGAAGATGGATATGTCAGTAATCTTACCCAACAGTTGTAATGGTCAGAGCTGCATCCTTTTGTTACTGTCCTGATCAAGTCATGTTGATATTTGTCAACAACTTTAGCTTGTGATCCTGTGTCTAATTCTACTGACATATCCATCTTATTTTACCCAATAGTTGTAATGGTCAGAGCTGCATCCTTTTGTTACTGTCCTGATCAAGTCATGTTGATACTTGTCTATAACATTAGTCCCTATGTTTACTTGTATTGACATATCCAAAAATCAAGAAATTCATGCTTTTTATCACAAGTTATAGAAAGAGGTTTTTGTTAGCAGTGTGTTGAAAGTAAATGTTCTAATGACAAATTTCTGCTGAACATACTAAGATTTCTAACTCCATGAAAACTGGGCCAGGAAGAGTTGGACTGTTTCTAAACAATATTACTGTGATTATTGAAAGAGCTGGTTTGTTTCCAAACAATACTACTGTGATTATTGAAAGAGCTGGTTTATTTCCAAACAATACTACCATGATTACTGAAAGAGCTGGTTTGTTTCCAAACAATACTAATGTGATTATTGAAAGAGCTGGTTTGTTTCCAAACAATACTAATGTGATTATTGAAAGAGCTGGTTTGTTTCCAAACAATACTAATCTGATTATTCAAATAGCTGGTTTATTTCCAAACAATACTACCGTGATTACTGAAAGAGCTGGTTTATTTCCAAACAATACTACCATGATTACTGAAAGAGCTGGTTTGTTTCCAAACAATACTACCATGATTATTGAAAGAGCTGGTTTATTTCCAAACAATACTACTGTGATTACTGAAAGAGCTAGCTTCTTTCCAAACAATACTTCCGTGATTATTGAAAGAGCTGGTTTGTTTCCAAACAATACTTCCGTGATTATTGAAAGAGCTGGTTTGTTTCCAAACAATATATTACCAAAAAGAATAGTCTTTCACAGTAAGAATAATATTTATTTATTTTCTAGAAATGTTTCCACCTCAAAGACTGCACTGGATGAAACATACATTCTTGAAAATCCATACCAGTTATTGTAGAGATTTTGACAGTTGTATATTCAAGTCATGAATGACTCACATGTGATATTGAGATAACTTAAATGGTAATCTCTCAAGTTTAACAATATGACAGTTATGCTGAATTAGAAAAGTTTATGAATGTTTTGTCACATCAGTTATTGAGAGAATGTCAGTATAATGTATCCACCTTGTTCTGGTATAAATATTGAGAAGATTTGGTTTACTCTTATCTTTTTGCACAGAAAGCACAGGGGAGAAAACATTTATCAATCTTCATTTATTTTGCTCTTGCTTCACACTAAAAAAACCATATAAACTAATGAAGATTTTGTCCTTTCTTCATAAACATATGAAAATTCCAAACTATCAATAACTTCCAATTAAAACACGCTACCTATGACCTCTTTAAACAAACACATTACAAATTAGAGAAGATCCTGCTTCTCTAGGCAATATAAAACATTTCACTACTACTGCTTTACTGATGTGTTAAAGAGAAACAGGTTATAAGTGATATTAAGTCTTCTATGATAAAACTTACTTTTTCTCCTCTATCTTTTTCCATTTAGAAATCGTGTAGATGTAGTCGTTTTCCTTACTCCCGCTTTTGGTGGAGAATCATTAAAACTAGTGTTGAACGACGCGAACCTAAAGGTCAAAAACTAAAGTTTTATTACACTAACAAGTCCCTGTTGGTGACATAAATATTCTCAAAGTACAAAGTTAAAAAAAAGAAATTGAAAAAAAAACATTTCAATCAGCAAGATGCCTTCAACAATGTAATCTAATTATGCCTTGTAAATGAATAACTAATCAGTAATATTACACTCAACAATGTAATATTAGTTAGACTCATAAATGAGTAACTAATGTATAATAATAAAAAGGTGTGTGTGTGTGTGACTGCCATAGCTCCAAGAGGAAAGAACCCAGAAACCTGAAATTTTGCACCCATACTAAGTGGACCCTGAGGGTGTGCACCTGGGCATTATTACTTATCTTATCTACGTGCGTGCATGGATGCATCTTTCTAATCAGGCAAGCTAGCGAAAAACCACACATAAAAGAAGTGGTTCCTTATATAACAACTTCTAATATATAGAAAAGCCAGTGCATTTTGGTATGAATGCATTCCAACAAAGGCTTTTATGTCATATTGCTTAGCGACAAAAGTATAATCTAATATTGTTGTTAGTCTATGTACTGAAAGTATAAAATGAAATGTATAAATTACAAAATTGAAAAAATATTTGATTTCTTAACTTAGAGTCTTCATTGATTAAAGAGGCGTGTTTTTGTTATTTAAGTTCAAAATTGGATCGATATTTTTACTTTCATGATAAATTTTATGTACTTGGTTCTAGGCTAGGTTATCTCACACTATGTCTTTACTTTAGGATAAATTATTAATTTCTTTGGTTCATAATAACATTCACTACATTACATGGCTTCACAGCAACCCCCTTAACAGCCCCCTTGCACCCCCATCATTAAAACGTAATGAGCAGACATGAATCAAACAGTAAAAAATTGTAATAGATTGTGATAGAAATTTGTGATATCAAATATAAATGTAAATTATTTAACACAATGATAAAGTTCATTGATGATAAATAATTTCTTAATCTACTGTATGTGTGTATTCTGAACCTATTTTAGCATAGAAGAACAGTCAAAAATATTTTAAACATATTTTTATTTCCCAGAAACACTAAAAAAGTCATAAAGAAAGCCTGACATAGTAATCTAGAATACATCAACCTAATAACTTGAGCAAAGACGGGTACTTTCGCTAGTCAGTAATATTACAGTCTGATACCACTGTATAAGTGATTATTAAGAAAATACCTTGAGAATTCTTTGTCCAGAAGCACTCAGGAATAGTATAATTTTATTTATTCAATTAAAAGTTTAATTTTAACTTAGGATTCCATCATAAGTAACAATTGTTATTGGCTAATGCAGCTATCAGCTGATGCAGATACCGGTTAACTGAGGTACCAGTTAAAACAACTATCAGTTAACAAAGGTTAGCACAGCTACTGATTGTTATTGAATAACACAGCTACAGGATAACACAAATATCAGAAGGCCCAGATCAAACCTGTATTTTTTATTAACACAAGAGTACATCTAGTCTGTCTTCATCATTAGCAATGTATGTTTTGTTGTATATTTTACAAATCTCAAATAATCAGATAAGAATCTGGGTTTGACAGGCACAATTGAAATTTGTTTATATTACAAACAGAAACGGCCTTTTAATCCACAATACATTACACAACAACTGTGATTTATTATATTTGTATGAAAGTTGATTTTTTCTAAAAGTCAAGAAATACTAAAGCTTAAGTTAATATTCACAAGCATTAAAAAATATCCAACTACTTTTGTTTAAACTTCTCAGTCTAAATTCAGGAAGTTCTATTTAAAAATATATTTGTTCTCAACGTATAGCAAAGTAAGCTTAATAATTAAAACTTTTTACAAGTATATTTAATGCAGGATTTATCAAACAAAACAATCTACACTTATTGATCCTAAGTAATTATGTGACTAAAGAAAAAAATGAAAGAGTATTTTGTTAGTCTCATATTGTGGCAGATCTCAATCAAGAATGACAAAATTGTACACCATTCTTATATTTGTGTTGCAGTTTGTATGAACTGAAATCAAAACCCATGAATATAGTGAGGAAAAGATTCTTACCCATGACTCGTGCTGCTACAAAGATTAGGAAATCCTCCATATTTAAACCCAAACCTTGGCACACCCAGAAGAGCATCTTCTCTTCTATGAACAACATCTACAGAAATGTAAATCATCATTACAATTTTTATAAGCATAATATAAAATAAAGTAAGTACATGCTTGAAACTTTCCAACAATTACAACACATTATTCCTTTACTTCAAAATGTTTGAATTGAGATGTTAAAACTTGAAAGACTGACTTCTTCTCCTTTCACTGTGTACTATAAAGCTGCAAAACCTAGCAAAAATATTATCTGAGCTGACATAATTATAAAATCTAACTTTCTAGTGTAACATAACAAAATAGAAGAAACTAAAATCTAGCTATAAACTAAAGAATAAATACTATAGCTAGTGCAATACGATAACAAATATCAGAATACTGAATAAATAGAATAAAATGGTTGTTTTCAATGTGTGGATTTAGAAGGCTGAGTAGGTGTTTGCTACACTCAGATACAGAAGGTTCAGGGCAAAAATAAAGTAACTGATATTAGAAACTATAAAAAGAAAAAGAACATACAACCATAAATAATTGTATTTTTCACTTACAAACAGTATTTATATAATGATTTAGAACAGCAAGTATCAACTGTACATGGCAACAGATTTAACAAAAAATCTATAAGTTTTTTATCTGTCAATGCCATAAAGATACTGTATTTTTCATTCAACCATAAAAAAAAGGAAATTTAGTCAGGTTCCATTAAGCTTCTTTGAAAAAAACCCTAATATTTGATCAGGTTCCATTAAGCTTCTTTGAAAAAACCCCGATATTTGATCAGGTTCCAGTAGGTCTCTCTGAAAAAACCCTGATATTTGATCAGGTTCCAGTAGGTCTCTCTGAAAAAACCCTGATATTTGATCAGGTTCCAGTAGGTCTCTCTGAAAAAACCCTGATAATTGATCAGGTTCCAGTAGGTCTCTCTGAAAAAACCCTGATATTTGATCAGGTTCCAGTAGGTCTCTCTGAAACAATTCAGATAATTGATCAGGTTCCAATAAGTCTCTCTGAAAAAAACCCTGATAATTTGTCTCATGTAACCAGTAGAGTTATTAAAAATCAGAGTATGCCTTTATTAGACAGACAATAGTATTTGGCTTGTACAGATGGTATCAGACAAGACAATTTCAAAACATCCTGCTGATAAGAAAATATTCTCTGCAAGTTACTTTGGCTACATACCATATTTTTCGGAATAAAAGATGCACCAGTGTATAAGACGCACCCTTATTTTGAAGACAAAGTTTTTGGGAAAAAAAAGCTACAATCTCATTTGAAATATTTT